GTTTTAATTGATGTTATTGAAAATTTATTAACTAAAATTGTGTAATTCTTAACTAGACATACTACAAACTCATACACTATATGCATTAGAAATCGGTTAACTCTGCTCTTTTGTGGTCTTGTATTGCAGACAGCCATGGTTACGTTATATGAGAAATTGATTTGGATTTCACGATGAATTAATATTTAATATTGAGAGGAAGACAAAAAGTTCGATTGAAATTTGGTCACGGTGACAAGGCTATTAGTGCCTCATAATGGTTTTCTTCTTATTAATGAATCTTAAAATATAGACGAAAGCATTTTAATATTGCCTCTAGTACAAATAATAAATTAAAGCAACTATTAAGCGATTCCGATTGGAAAATTTAAAAGGGACGAAAGCGAAGGACTTTTGCCAATCAGTGTTTATCAGACCTACCACTGTTTTTCTTTTTAACAATTTTTGGCCACATCGTCGACTGTTGGCATGTCAAGGTCAGGTCGGAGATCACTGTTTCTGATGTAAAATGGCACATTTACGATATGCCGTAGCACTTTATTTTGAAAGCGCTGGATTGTGGATCTCTCACTCATAAACTTGTTTTCATATACCAAGAAATTTAAAACCACTCAATATGATATACCCTATATACTACAACATACTGATTTTTTTAAGTGGTGAACTAAAATGACTTCAAGCGTTTTAACCAAACGAACCCAAACTACACAAAAGTTTCCTAAACTTAGACAGGTTTTATATTTTAAGAAGAAAGAAGGTATAATCAGCATGTTCAGCTATGGTTGAACCAACATGATACGTCGAGTAAGAATATTTTAACCTAATATTTAGTTAAAATCTAATTAAATCAACCAAATTATTTTTCTGAATGTAGATAAATATTTCTAAAATAATTGATATAATTAATGGCTGCATCAACTCATTTGCTACATAGTTGTCCTGATAGTCTCTATGTCCTGGTTATAAACAAGTTAATAAAAACTATTTAAAAAATCCAATAAGAGAGCCTTTCTATATACTACTCCAATAAGTAAATATCACTATTGCACTATTATAATTATTCGCACCACATGGCTAGAATTCGGCCCATATTATCAATATATGGAATTAGTGTTATTATCTCTTTACTCAAAAATCTAAAGTGTATACACAACTCAGTTATATTTAGCTCAACAATATAAATGAAAATCATCGAATATATATTTAAACATAAATTTCGGGAAAACCCGCCGAATTCAAAGAACTTTAATAATTTGATTCGATGGCATAACAAGCTTAATTGGTATTTAATGCCAGATTACACGACGGAAGCCTTTTAACACCAGCGGCAAGAAGCTGCCAGAAATCAGCTTACAATCTGAAGCACTGACTGTCATCAATACAAACAAATATATTTCGCTGTCATATAAAATTTAATGTGTGAACTTTTCCTCGAACCAAAAATTCGGCTTTCCCAACGTTTGAGATAAAATATCTGATGCCATGGAGCTTTCATGTATTTAAACATCCACTTTTATAGGAGCCATTTTTGATTCCGCTTTTGTCTACTTCATTAACATTTGTATACGAATGTGTAGGCTTATTTGCACAAATAAACATAAAAGTGGATCATATGTGAATTAAGGATGAAGCACGAGTCCCTTTAAAATATTTTTAAAAAGTA